ACAACAGACATTCAATACCATAATAATAAGAAGAGAATAGTCTAGATTACCGTGAAAACAGACTTGTAGTAATAATAATAATCCACCTAACGAACATAAAATTTAAAAAAAAAAAATTAAACGGCGTCAAAAGACAAAATAAAACAAAAAGTAAACGGCGTCAAATAACGACCGTTAAAGAATGTGCCGAATCAGGATAACGCGTGGCTGATAAGGCTCCGGATTTCACGGCGTCTGTCTTTACAGTTACTATCTTTCTTTGTCGGGACTGGCAAAATCGCATTTATCTCGCTGGTCAATTCGTCATTAGTACAAAATTAAAGAACATGCAAAATGACTCATCAATATTTAATTTTCAATTTTCACAATTACTTATTATTACAGAGTTAACTCAAAAACAAATTATATTATAGTCGTTAAAAACTATTGGTGATCCATGAGTCAAAGTAATTAAAATAAGGGTTAATTTACTGCATAACAAAAGATTAAATGATAATTAGACAAATAACAAAAATACTGGGATTCCTTTGCAAAGCTAGAGGTGATTTTGCTAAGATTTTTGTTATTTTCCTAATTAATCCTAATTTTTTTTGCTATCAACCCTAATTTCCCTTATTAAACGGCGTATCTTAGACTGTCATTAACACGTTACGATGATTTTTGGCACTAATCTGACTCTTAATTAAAATAGATAAATACCACCGCACCGTATTAAATGCAATTTTATATTGATACCACGCATTGGAGAGTTTGTCACACGATGCTTGAAGAAGAAGAAATATTCTTTTATAGAAGCAAATGCAAATAATGTGAAGAAAAATCCAAGATCTATAGAAAATATTTTAAATGGGAAAGACAATCGATATTATTCGCAGTTAGATGAAAAAATGCCCGAAAAACTCAATCATAGAGTTATATATTTATTAGAGAAAATGAACAAATCAAATACCATATGATCATTTTCTTATTTCAGTAGATTTTGTTGTGAGTATAAGGGAAGAGAGAGTTACCAATTTTGATACAACCACTTGTTTCGATCTTATTAAAAACAAATCTGTTTTAATTGGATGTATAAATAATTTTTTTAGGAAATGTAATAATTTATACTTAAAAAATATTACTTTTTTTTTTGTTTTTGTAAACAAAAGGTTAACTATTAGATTTTCATTTTACAATATATAGATATAGTAACATACCAATTGATGGTGCCATAACTTTGTTGTGTTCCATATTTTATGTAACTAATCAAGAAGTAGCATTTGCAAGATATAATATCATTGTTTTTTATATCCATATCTTTTGTTGTTATATATTGTATGTTTTAGTTGTACTATTGTTTTGTATCGCTATTTTTGACGATCAATAAATTAATATCGTTTTGAGTTGTCAATCGGATCTATAGTGATATAAATATAGATTTGCTTAAAATTTAGATTTAAAATTTAGACTATTTAGATTTAAAATTTAGACTATAATTTTGGAAATAAGAAATAGTAGATAATCTCATCATTTGATTATAGATTTTTCACATATATTAATATTGTTTAACCATTTAATTATCCGCGTGTCAGCAGTAATCATAACTTTTAATAGATAGGAAAAAAAAAATCAGACATAAAAAAAGGTTCACTAGGAGTACTAATAAATATACACTTTCTTAGTCCCTCTCTCACACATTCTCTCTACTACACAAAGCAAAACATTAAATTCTGGTTCATCTACTTTTATATAGAATAATTTTATTTTTTTTTGGAAAACATTATGCCTTTATGATCTTTACTTTGTACATTTTATAATTGTATCATCTATATACTGTTATTTATACCATTAAACAAATTGTACTGCTTTGTGTTACCAATCAGATCTAAAAAAAATTATAATTTTTCTCTAATTTTTATATAGTTTTGTTCTTCTAGTACACTAAATGTACAAAATGTTGACTATTGCATTAATATCATATTGTGTTTAAGTTTTTCATGATACTATAAAACTAGATAAATTCAAACTTAATTAACATAGCAATATATAGACATTGATAGTGTTGTAATATTGTATTATAATGTCTCTCATTTTTTATGTAATCATCAATAATTGTGAAAATAATCACTATTTTTTATTCTTATTTTTATGATAAAATATATCATCTTATTACTATCACTAAGATCTCTAGTAACATTAATATAGAACTATATGAATTTAAAATAAAAATAGTAGATAATCTAATTTATTTGATTATAGAATTTTCACAAATTTTTACTTAATTATCCGCATATCAGCTGTATCTATAGC